TATTTATTAATTAATTAATTTAATTGTTTGAGACAGAATTTCATTCTATTGCCCCAGGCCAAAATGCCTGGCATCAGGCATCATAGCTCACATAAACCTCAAACTCCTGGGCTCAAGTGATCCTCTTGCCTCAGCCTCCTGAGTAGCTGGGACTACAGATGCCTGTCACAACACCCAGCTAGTTTTTCCTCTTTTTTTGTAGAAATGAGGGTCTCACTCTTGCTCAGGCTGGTCTTGAACTCCTGAGCTCAAGCAATCCACCCACCTTGGCCTCCCAAAGTGTTAGGATTACAGGTGTGAACCATTGCACCCAGCCAAGCCCTTTCACTTTATATACATTTTCTCTCACCACAAGCCCTGCCAGTCTGTTATAGTAATCCCCACTTTCCAGATGAGGAAGACTGAGGTTCAGTGATGAATGACTTGCCCAGGGTCACACAGACAAACAGTGGTAGAACTAGAATTCTAACCCAGATCTTCCCCAATTCTAAAGTGTTGGCTGGCTTTTTTTTTTAATTGACACAAAGTCTCACTTTGTTGCCCTTTGTTGCCCTTGGTAGAGTGCCCTGGCCTCGCAGCAACCTCAAACTCTTGGGCTCAAGCGATTCTCTTGCCTCAGCCTCCCAAGTAGCTGGGACTATAGGTGCCCATCACAACGCCTGGCTATTTTTTTGTTTTAGCAAGCCCAGGCTGGGCTCGAACCCACTAGCCCTGTTGCATGTGGCCGGCGCCCTACCCACTGAGCTGTGGGCACCACTGGTTTTTTATTTTTTCAACTAGGCCATAATTCTTTCTCACCTATGAAATGGAAATAATGGCTTCTGCCATCAAGGTTAACTGCAAGGATTAAACAAGATAAGGTCTATGTAGAGGCCTCTATCCATACTTAGTGCTAGTTCAGCTCAGCTTCTTTATCTTCCCAGGGTAATTTGCCTTTCATTTTCATAATAAGAAGGCTGGTGAACTTCTTAATTTCTGGCAGAGGACATTGTGTGATGTCAATAGACAGGAGGGGGCTGGAGTATGGCATCAAAATCAGAGCTACAAGATTCCTGTCCCACACCCAGGCCCAAGCCTGCTGAAGCTTCTTTCATTTTCTGGGCCTTCTCTACATCTCTGATCTCCCACCCACCCTGTGAGGATTGGGAGAATATGATCCTTTTCTCCCTTTTCTGGAGGAGTGCAAAAGTACCTTTGATATTATCTGACATCTTCAGTGTCAAACTTCAGGTAGAGGGTGACCTTCTGATTATCTGACTATTGTGAAGTCAATTTCTCCCTGCCTCCAACAAGTGGCATAATGGGGATAGAAGTGGGGCCTTGGGAAAGTGGAGTGCATATGTCACCCCTCCTCTTGGCTTGCCTGGCAACAAGTAGGCCAGGGGCACTGTCCCCCCTCCTGCATAATGTATGTGCCTGTGGTAGGAACAGAACACCATCAGCAGTGAGTCTGACCACTGCAGGCCATGGACATGTTCAGAGGCCTTGCCAAAGCTGATGTGTCTCGGTTGGCAGTAGCTGAAGAGAGGGAGGAGTATGTGTTACCAGAGGCCTTTTCTGGGGTGGAATTGGGAACTGGTCTCATTTTAGTCCTTGAGATTCTGTCAGACAATAGGACAACCCACAAAAGCAGGCTGCCTCTACCTTAGAATCAAAAATGGTTGACATTGGAACAGTTAGACTTCCATTTTCTGGGCTTAAAATCCTTTATGAGAAGGCTAGTCATGGCAAAAGGGGTGGCTGGGACCCTTTCAATGTGGTCAAATGTGCAAAGGAAGGTTTGGGACCTAGGGATCCATACCCTGGCTATTTCTGTGGCTGCCACATGGTGTAAGAAATCCCTGGAGCAGCAGCTATGGGGGGTACATCAGAGTGGAGAATATGGGCAATGAAAGGTATTTGGTGGCACTCTTTCAGGGGAAAATGTCAGGACACAGCAGCCATGAAGGAAATTCAAGGTCTCCATGAGCAGGTGAGTGTGCACCTGTGCAGGCATGTGTGTGCAGAGCCAAAAAGGATAGGAATGAAAAGGGAGATGTAACTGCCCTGAAAGGCAAGGGAACCAGGACATCTGGATAACAACAGCAACTCTGGGATGGAATTGGATTCCATTCATTTTTAGAGTGAGTATTCACGGTGGCCCCAAGGCTATGCCAAGTGCTAGAACTTGAGATATGGAGGTGTGAGTCTGACCAGACCCCAGCGTTTGCAGTCTAATTGGGGAGCCAGATACTGAAGTAAGAAATTCAAATAACTTGTGATAAGTGTTAGAAAAACAGTAACTACATGGTGATGTGGGAACTCCAGAGCCCAAAGCAGCCACCTCCACCTGAAATTGGCAGGAAGATCTTGTCAGACAAAGGAAAATGAGCGCATGCTTGGGGCATGAGTAAGTTTGTCAGGGGACAGCAGGGGAAGGGTGTTCCAGGCAGAGGGAACAGCATCTGTGCAGCTGTGGAACTGTAAGGCACTATGCACTGGTTCAGGAAGCTTCAACAGTCCCGTGTGGAGTCTTGAAAGAATTGATGAGGTACAAAATCTTATTTGTTTCTATATTTATTATCTGATCCCCCCTCCTCCAGTAGAATGTCAGCAGCGTGAGGGCTGGAAATTCACCTTAACCTCTGCCAGCACTGCAGAGCCAAGAGCAGTGCCTGGCACCCAGCTGGATCAGTCGTGAATGAACAAAGGGAAGGTAGGCAGGGCGGGGAGTAGATGGTGCTGACAGTCTGCTTCCGTATTTGGGCTTTATCCTGAAGTCAACGGGAAGTCTTTGGAGGTTTGAAAGTAGAAAAGGAGCACAACATCTGATGTGGGTGATAGGAAATCACTTTAACTTTTCTGCGACGGCTGCAAAAATGGAGAAGTGGTGGCAGGCTGAAAAAAATATTGATAACTGCGTACAATTAACAAGCAGCTTTGATTTTTACAATATCCCTGAGAAGCAAGCGTTTTCCCCTTTTGCACATGAGGAAATAGACTCGGTGGCGCTCAGTGACTTGTCAAAGTAACAACAGCATGTTGGAGAGGTAGCCCGGGGGGTTGAGGGTCCAGTCTTCTCTTTGCAGCTCCCCAGGCTCCAAGTGCCACCTCCAATGTCTAGCATCTGTTAAGAATCCGACCCAGGCCAGTGGGGGCAGGAACTCGCTCTCTTTCCGATCAGTTTCCGCGGGGAAGCCCCGCGGACTCCGGTTTAGAGGACTCGCGGATCAAGCGAGAGAAGTGAGGCGGGAAAGGAGGATGTCGGGCCTTGGCGGCCGCCGTAGAACCAGCACTCTGATCTCCATGGCAACGGCAAGAGACAGCGGAAGGCTTCTGGGCGGAGCTGGCGCCACGGCCGATTGGACCCTGGGTGGCGCGGAATCCGTGAATTGCCTGCAGCGGCGAGGGTGCAGGTGATGGGGATGGGTCCACGGAGGGAGCCCAGGGTGTGGGGACAGCGGACGGGAGTGGCGTGGGCCGGGCTGGGGTCTGAGAGGAAGGCGTCGCCTTCGACTCCCCGGATCTCTGAATCCCACCGTCCTAACCAGAGAGAAACTGAGGCTATCACTGGGTTTCATTTTGCCCCAAACGGGAAATGAGGGAAGGAGGAAAGTGGCCACCGAATCTAACGGCCCCTCTCAGCTTCTGAGGCCTGGGACCTTCTCTCCCCTGCAGCTCCCGGACTGGCGCTGCCCTACCCCATGGACGTGAGTCTGGCGTGGCTCCTTCAGCGCTCTGTTCTCATCCTATCTTTGCCTGCCTTCCAGCTGGGCTGGGGAGGGGACTTTCCACCTAACACATATCCTTCCAGCTCAGGACAAAAAGCTGTGTGAGAGAGAGAGTGCCAAGGAGGGACTTCTCAGGGGAGGGCACATTTTCTAGTATTCCTGGCAAGATAAGGTGGAGTTTACCAAGTAATCAAGAAGAAAAGACATTTCAGGAAGAGAGAAAGGATGAGGTCTGGGGGTGAGAGAGAGGATGGGTCATTTGGGGGAACTGGTAGGACTTCACTGTGGCTGGCGTGGTGAGGGGAAGGGAGAGAGAGGTAGGCAGGGCTAGATTGGGGACTTTGTCCTAATATAGAAAGTTTTCACCGAGTCATTGGGAGCCATAGACGGTTTTTAAGGAAGGGGGATTACACAAGGACGGGTGGTGTGGAAGGGGGCAAAAGTGCAATTTGGAAGATCGAGGCCAGTAATGTGGGCTGAAGGATGGCAAAGTAGTGGTAGTGGGGTCAGAGATGAGATACATTTCGAGAGACATTCTAAAAGGAGGATCAGTAAGTCTCAGACGATTCTAGAATGATCAACAAGTACTTGATGGTGCCAAAATGGTGATGACAGGAATAAAGGCAGGCCTGGGGAAACAAAATAGTGAATGAGGGTATAGTTCTATTCACTCCCCATCATCTGAGGGTTGTTCCTCCCTCGGCCACCTCGGCGCCTGTCCTGGTTTTCCTGGGTTCCCGCAGCTCCTCTCCACCTCCTTGTCATCCCTTCCTCCTGTACTTGTCTAGGCCTCCTCTAGCCCATGGAATCCAACCCCAGCTGCCGTCAGCAGCCCTCACCTACTGCTCCCCATCCCTGCCATTGTCTTCATCGCTGTGGGCATCTATCTGTTGCTGCTGGGCCTAGTGCTGCTGGTTAGGCACTGCCTGCTGGTGAGGAGCCTGGTGGGGGAAAAGGGTGGGCCCTGGGGAAGAGGAACCCAGTTGACCTGTCCTTTCATCTGCAGACTCATACTTTGAGGCTCCTTTGCCATTTAGTCCCTACTTCTATCCCTTTTGTGCAACCAAGTCCCTCCTCTCCTGTCCCTAGTGGAACTTTTCCTGCCCCCTTGAGGAAGCCAAATCTTGGCTGTCACTATGTGCTGCCTGGCACAGATTCTGAGCTCTGCCACCTCCTAGGCCCAGGGCTGCTGCACAGATTGCAGCTCCCCCTGCAGGAAGCAAGGTGACTTGCGGCCTCAAGACTGTTGCTGGACCTGTGCAGAAGCCTGCGACTTCCCTCTGCCTAGCCCAGCCCACTGCCTGGATGCCTGCTGCCCCCAGCCCACCGAAGCTGTGAGTTCCATTCCTGTCTCTGCCCCACTGAGCCCTGATCTGTGCAATCTTTTGGTTCAACATTTGTTATTGACCACCTTCTGTAAACCAGGTAGGATTCCGGATACTGAATTATGTGGCAACAGGCAAAAACAACACATCAGATAATTTCTGGTGATGAAAGCTTCTTGTAGAAAAGAAAACAGGATCCCAACCAGAGAAAGATGATGTGAATAACACATATTGCACAAAATCAGAGCTTTTGAAAATGGTAGCTAAAAGTGAAAACAGACCAGGCACAGTAGCTCACGCCTGGTATTCTAGCATTCTGGAGGCAGAGATGGGAGAATTCCTTGAGCTCAAGAGTTCGAGATCAGCTTGAGCAAGAGTGAGACCCTGTCTCTACTATAGCCAGGCATTGTGGTGGGTGCCTATAGTACCAGCTACTGGGGAGGCTGTGGCAGAAGGACCACTTGAACCCAGGAGTCTGAGGTGGGCCAAGCTGGGCTGATGCCATGGCACACTAGCCTGGGTAACAGAGTGATACTGTCTCGAAAAATAAAATAGGCAGTGCCTGAGGCTCAAAGGAGTAGGACACCGGTCCCATATACCGGAGGTGGCGGATTCAAACCTGGCCCCAGCCAAAAGCTGCAAAAATAAATAAATAAAATAAAATAAAAAATAAATGCAAAAAAGGCTCACAAAGCTCCTACTGTTCACTGAGTGAATATTATACTATGTTCTACTTTATTATTATTTTTTCCAAAACCCTAAGAACTGGATTTTTTTTTTTTTTTTTTTTTGCAGTTTTTGGCCGAAGCCAGGTTTGAACACACTCCCTCCAGCATATGGGGCTGGTGTCTTACTCCTTTGAGCCACAGGTGCCGCCCTAGATCTGGGTATTTTAAAAAACTTATATATTTTTTCTCATTACAAAAGTATTGTTTACAAAGCATGCATAGAGAAATACACAGAAGGGCTGGGCACAGGGGCATGTGCCTGTAGTCCTAGCTCCTTGGGAGGCTGAGGCAGGAGGATTGCTTGAGTCTAAGAGCCATCATACTGGTTAATGTAGCAAGTCCCCACCTCTTGAAAAAAACGGAAGGTACAAATCACTGTATAAACCAGTTCTCTAATTCCAAATTGCTGTTTTGTATATGTTCCTCATATGCCACTGTACAGTACTACCATTGCTGTATTTTACTATTATTTGGTGGAGATAGAGCTATACCACATAGACTATTTCTTTCTTTTTTTTTTTTTTTTGAGACAGAACTTCAAACTATCCCCCTGGGTAGAGTGCCGCGGCATCATAGCTCACAGCAACCTCCAACTCCTGGGCTCAAGCGAGTCTCCTGCCTCAGCTTCCCAAGTAGCTGGGACCAC